TGACGTCAAGGGAGCCGTTTCACTCTCCAGCCATCGTGTTCACTACCTTTAATAATGAATGAATAATTCATGGTGATTCTAAAAATGACTGAAAACATTTCCAGCCTCTTTCCTGTTCGAACAACGCTCTAATCGGACGCGATTTATCATGTCCTACCGAAACTTGCCCAATGGATTCCTCGTCTATATGGAAGGGAGAGTGGGGACAATGGAGCCTATGGACTTCATGTACAGCCACATGCGGTGGAGGCTATAGGAAGCGGTGAGGAAGCGACCGTTTTGATACAAATTTCTCTCAAGCTTCATTGGTGTGACATCATTCCCAGAACGCTTTCAGATCCCGTACCTGTTCGGTGAAAGGACGTTGTGACGGTGCTGAAACAGAAACGGAACAGTGCTCGACTAACGCTTGTCAACCAGTGAATACGGCTGGCGGAAATCACTGGACCACATGGACAGAGTGGAACCATTGTTCAGTTTCATGTGGTCGTGGTTCCCAAGCTCGATATAGGAAATGTGTCACTCCTCAACACTCGATTGCTTTTGACTGTCCTGGTGAGCCGACCGATGAGCATGACAAGACTCGCCGAACGCTTCATAAAGGTTCCAACTAACATACTAACATTGTCTGCTGCTTTCTCATATTTTCTTTACTAATATATGCAAATTATCGATTGGCTAGGTGGTACAGTGCTGATCGAAACTCACGGTCCCTTAGCCACCAAGAAAAAATTCTGGATCCCAAGAGATCACCCAAAGCTCTCAAAACGAAGCCCCCGTTCTTGCTGATGATTTAAGAACCTTTACCTGATAAAATGAAAGGGTTTCGAATGAATTTCGTTAGCCGGTATCATATCGAATCCAATAATGTCATTTCTTGGCGCTATGGGAAGAGACGGAAGCATCCCCGAGGGCCAAGACCGGAGGTGGTAGGAACTACGAGGGAAATGGAAATTACTCACGAACCTCGGATCCTTTGCCTGACCACTCGGGGCTCACTCCTGTGAATAACAAAAAGTGGATCTCTGCCGCGGTTTCAAATGCGCTGCCCCCATTTTTGCAATAGCGCCCAATGTATGCTACTACGTTGCCAGTGCTGTCATACAAGTAAATCATGCTTATTTTTGAATAATCCGCAAGTTAGCCCCCAAACACCTGCGCAAGCACCCTGTCGGCTCGATGGCTGAACTTGCGAACCTTGATAAGCGTTCATTGCGGCTTTTGCGAAATTCCTCACCACCCCTTTGCCCCGCTCAGCGTTAAAGGCAGAGTCCGGGGTCGTGAGTGATGTAATTATTGTGGCCTGTGATCGACAGCTGGAGCCATGTAGAGTGTAACGCTCGGTAAACCGAAATCGGCCGAAAAAGTGATCCACTTTACGTCGGCGAACATGAACAAACCCCCATCCTCTAGTAGACGGTGAGCGACCATAGCACGGATTTCGGGGCGGGGTGTAAATGGTGTGTGGCACATGGTGGACTCGCGCGTTCGCCTCCGCCTCTCACGTTAAGCTGTGACCGCCAAGTGGGCACACTGCTCCTGCTCTAGTATCACTCCGACGTCTCTCCGCCGGCCATGAGCCGTACAACCACTCCCGCGACTCCTCTCCTTAAGTCACAATCCCGCCAGTTCGTGGCGCGCTCGCGAATATGACACTCTTGTTAACACTTTGATCACTAACAGTACTAACGATCAGTTCTCGCATGGGTAGATCGAACTAACACGATGACTTATTCTTTGTGATTTTCATTTAATTCTGCTAACAAAAAGAAAATTTTTTGTTCAGTTCTCGTGCTCCTAGCACTCGTGTGACCGGCCTTCAATAATATACTTCAGATACAAACATCGAAGTTCGGGCGTGTGATGCCGGGGCATGTACTGGAGTAGGTGTTTGGCTATCATGGTCCGAGTGGAGTACCTGCTCGACGTCGTGTGGACCAGGCACTATGCTTCGTCAACGGGGTTGCCATAAGGTTTCTATCAGCTTTTATTGCCTTATTATTTTTACTATTTCTATTAGATGGAGTTAAAATGCCCACTTTTGCTTCAGGAACCTTGCGATGGATCAGCCCATGAAAGAAGGTCCTGTAACATAGCGGTTTGTGCGTCACCACCAGGAGAGTGGAGCTCATGGAATGAATGGTCAGAATGTAGTCGTTTGTGTGGGCGTGGAATTCGGTCGAGGAGCAGGTTCTGTAGTTTTGGTGTTATTTTGTGATTTCCCTAAATTCAAAAAATTATTTCAGAAGTTGTGTTGGTTCCGGGTGCTACGGTGCCGGCAGTGACCAATCTTTCTGTAATGAACATCCGTGTGAAGCCCGCTCTAGCGAATGGGCCACATGGTCTCCTTGGAGCACGTGTTCGGCCACTTGCGGTGCGGGTGTGAAGAGGCGCACCCGTTACTGCCGATCAGGAAGTTGCCCTGGCAACTACAAAGAATCGGCCATATGCAACGATCGTGAATGCGAAAGCCGCAATGCAGCATGGGGAGGCAAGTTACTAGTGATTTCAGCATGGAACTTAAAGGCAGTGGTCACGGTGGCGGTAGAGCGGTGCGGTTCGATGACGTCATTGAGAGCTATTGATGGAGAACACCTCCTCGCGCTAGGAAGAGGCGCTTGCGAATTCCACCGATAACATCAAAACGCACCTCCTGCAGCTGTCGTGATCGCTGCCATTACTTGAAAATTATAATCCTTGCTCATGAAGAAAATCTTACAGGCTGGGGATACTGGTCCACATGCAGCGAAACGTGTGGTGAAGGAATTAGGAAAAGAGTTAGGAAATGCTACGGTAGCGGTCAATGTGGTGGAAATGAATACGAGAAGCAACCGTGTTTTGCTCGTGCATGTGATCATGTCTAGCTATGATCAGCTCTTTCACAGTGAGCGGTTCTCTACGAGACTCATCCTCCATAACTATTTTAGTACTCTTTGTATACTGCATAGGGCGATTCTATGTGCCATGACGAGGCATCATGCGCTGTTAGACGCAATTACGGCACTAATAGGACGTTCCATCGCCATGTGAAGGGGAAGCTCTCATATGCTCCTCTTCATCCCTAGTGATCAGAATTTGGGACATCTGATCTCGCGCCTTTCACCTTCCTCCCGGCTTGTCAGCACGCACTCTCCCTTACATTGAGTCATTCACATAGTCATGAACTCCGTTGACATACACATATATGTATTTATTATTCCTCGCGTTTGTGCTACTCTTTGTATATACTGATATATCCTATCCTGCATATATTTCAGTCAGAAACATTTGTGAGGGAACACTTGTCTACCATTTTCTGGAATATCTCATACGGTTACCAGTATCACTTGTTTTTTTTTACAACCGCGAGTTATATCTTAAACGACTTTTTTTTGATTTCATGTTTCTTGCCGACGAATGATAGTCGCAATTGCGGGTTCTGTGAACTAGGGTTGTCGATAGACAGCATGAATTGATTAGAATAAAGGATTCTTCAAAAAGGCTTGTTGTTCTCATCTGCCCTAACACTGTGGGAGAGGTGGTCAGTGATGACGGAAGTAGAAAAAAAAACAAAGAAAAACGGCCTAGAACCCGAGAAATGGGGCCTCTTCCTTGCCCGTTGATTTCCGCATTGATGCGACTCTCATCGTGCTGCCCTCTTCAACGCTAACGCTCTCTGCTAAACGGCTAGAGGCTCAGACGACGAGAGAGAGGGAGGGGGCGTGTGCGTCGATAGCGCGCCAATAGCGCCGCGGGAAGGCCATGCTAGGCCGCCGGGCATATCCTTCGATGCGAATTACGCGCTGGTCCGTACCCTTGCGAGGTCCGCCAGTCTCTGGGTAAGTTTCCCCTTCTTCGAAATTGGAATACTCCTTTAACGACAGACTAGTGCGTGGGCCAGGCGCATTCACACGTAGTTTGCCGTGAGTCTGACTCCATCAGCTAACGCAAGCGGTCATTGTCATCTCAAGGCGACATTCCAATCAGGCGGAACTTTCCATCCCGGAGTCTCCCTTGACAGAGCTGTTTTTTTGGATACCCTACCTTTCAAATGCAGCATAAATGCGTTCCGTTATTTAATCCTGCTCTTCCGTTCATACTACTCGGAGCTGCTCGCTAGCGCTGGGCTG